ATAAAGTAGTCATGGGGATGGCCCACTTTGGTACCACAGAATGGGCTTCCTGAATCCTCCGCAGCTAGGACCCAGTGCTTTGATGGGCTTTGCCATCGTGGCGGCGCGGGGCATCAGAAGCCCAAATCCTCCAAAAAAACTGACAGAGCTGCTATCTAAATTCATGGTTCCTTGCAAGCCTCAAACTCGGAAGGGAAGGGATGTTTGTGGTTTTTGCATGTAATAGATTGCACATGGGGTACCATGCCTTTGCGTGAGACAAAGACAAAATCCCAAGGCTGCAACGCGCCTAGCGTGCAACTTTGCCAAGGCGCGCTCTTTGCCTTGGCTAGTGCAGTCAAACACGCAAAGCTTTAAGTTAATATTCACGATGGTTTCAGCTCGGGTGGTTTGTCAGATATATATATATATATATACAAACATGCTATAGCTTGATTGTCTCCCAGACATTTAATCACTGTGCCTCCTGTGGAGGCAGTGCCTTTGCGAGGGAAGAAGCGAGAGGCCGGGTCAATGCAGATACAGACGGCCACGATTTGGGCGCATGACCAAGAAGGCGACAAGTCCTGTTAGCTGCAGCAGCGACAGTAACAGCAACAGCATTCAGAGAAACAGCAATGCCAACAGCAACTAGCAGAAGAAAAAAAAGTCCCCCAAAGATTCCCCATGATCCCCATGGATTGCTGCTTCGGTCTGGTGCAGGTCGCCGCGACTTCAGGTGGCTTTGGAGGTCACTCGAGGCATGGCTTCCGGTGCATCCCGTCCAGTATCCCGTCCAGTCTGCCGAGAAGCGTGCTGTGCACAAGTCCCTTGTGAGAAATGCAAACGTGCTGGTGTTTGCAGGAATTGTTGGTGTCTTACAGTGGCAAATGAGACCACGACGCAAGTTGCTATTTGATGCTATAGGGAGTGCGCGTTCACTTGGGTGCTAATTGGTGACTCGTTTCGATCCTAGGGACGTTTCTGTCCTAGTTGTTCGATAGACCTACGTGTTGCGCGAACCTGATTTTTAACTTCGCCTGTCTGGGCAGATGTGTCACGAGGCGATGGACCTGTGTCAGATCTGACTGGTTCAGCGACAAATTAGCGGGAGGAAAGCGCGCCTCAAGTCGAAGACCGATTCGAACTTGGCTGACAAATCGTTCCTTGAAGACTGATTAGGCGACCGATCCTAGCCGATTCGGCCACCGCAGTGCTGTCCCAAGCAAAGTTTTGTCTCAAAGAACATGGCACGCAAGTCCCATACGGAGCACTTGACACTCAGCTTGCCGGTTGACTTGGGCTGAGACACTTCGCGCAGGTCTGGCACCAGCTTCTCCTCTGGCAGCTCCAGCTTCCTCGGTGCCTTGGCTTGCGTGCAGCGATGGCCTTTGCGGGGCCTCTTCGCGGGGTCGGTTTTTCTTCTTTTCCGTCTGAAGGCTCCACCGTGGCGGGCTCCGTGCGATGCTCAGGTATTTTTTTCCAGTTTGCAATTCAGCAGTACAAGAAACAAATGTGTTGTGATGAGATGCAGCATTCTTCGCATGCATCAGCAGTATATAGCCTATAGCTTTGGCCAAAGCAAAGGTAAAGGGAGCCACAGCACTCCGATGTCAGCGAATCTGAACGCGGCTCTGTGCACAGCTTAGGTCACCACCGTACTCCCCCCCCGCAGCTCAGCATTGTCCCGGGCCTGGCATGTTACCTTGAGCTTGAGCAAAAGCGCTTCGTGAGCGTTTGCGGCTCAGGTCTTCAATGAACATGATGTTTGAACGGTTCAACGAGAAGGTGTGGGGCGAAGCGGGTCTAAGCATATGCAAACAAACCCGCATTTGCAGATGTTTCCACTATTTTTTTCTTCAGGAGGTTGGATCGAAACTACTTGCTGCATCCCGCCGATTTTCATTGCCGTTGCAATGCATTGCACTGTCCGAGTTCCAAACATGTTTCAGAGTGGGAGGCTGATTGTCAGAACTGCACAGTTGCCTTGGGCTTTTGTTCCATGGAGTTCTTTGACTCGAGCAAAGCTTATCCGACAGTTGTGCTTGATGTTGCAGGCCATCAAGTCCGTGATGTTGGCACAGGAAGAGTCGCGCCGACTCAGTCGGGATCCAAATTTCAAGTGCTTGACAGCTTGAAGCAGAGCGGAAGGCATCTAGCATCGACCCCGCGTTCATCCTAAAAGAGACCTTTGCCATGCCTCCTTTGGCTTTCTATCGGGCTCTGACTTTGAGTTTGGTTCATTTGTTGAGTGGTTTTGTTTGGCTTTGCCGCCTTTTCCTCACAATGCCACCATGCCCGCCTTACCACCGGTACAGATCACAACTTCGTGGGCGTGGAGATGCTTCTAGTCGGCGTCGTGGCGGAGAACACAGGAATTGCGGCCAAGGTGATGAGGCGAGCCGTGACCCGCCGCTCGCACTCGAGCCATTGCAGATTTGCCAGGGGGCTGGGCGTGAACCTCAAGGCTGGACAGCTTTGCTCAGAGTCAATAGGATGGAGGTGAAGCCTGAGGGGTGGCTTTCATGTGCGAATGGTCAAAAATGGGCCTCGATGCGGGCAAAGGAGGACTCATTCAGATTTGTCCGTGTTCTAGCTGCGGCCCGTGTGCTAGTGTCCGACATGCCTTGCATTGTGCAGCCGTTAAGCCGTTGGGCAACATCTGCAGTCAAGACTGGTACCCCTTTGACAGCCACAGCTCGGCCATGTGGGTGTTCCCTACAGGAAAACCTTTGTCTACTTTCATTCCATTGGAAACCAAAAGTAGGCCTGTCGGTGGGCAAAGAGCGAGTGATGCCAGGAGGTGAAGAAGGTGGTGCAGGAGGAGCTGGGCAACGGAGAGGGCCCAGTCAAGGCTGGCAACCTTCATATTTTTTTTGGTGACAGAGTTTCCACCTTTGAGCCATTTTGACACAAGAGTTTGTACTCAATCAATAACATGCAGTGGTTGACAAAGAAAAAGCAAATCTAGCCAGAGTTCAGCATTTGTTTGAATCAGGCTGAAAACAACCGCCAACCAATATAGAAGAAGGTGTCTGAAGGTTGAACATGCATTTTATGAGTCCTTTTGTGGGGATCTGGATGTGCATTGTAGAATTTTAGAAAGGGTTTTCTCTCAAAATTTTATGTTGAATCTGCATTTTGGAGACGGGTCAGAAAAGTCTTCACGAGTACAGGCCTCCTACATATCTTAACCCATACTTCTGGTTTTGGCACATCCAACCCCCTTTCGGCCATCGCGCGTTTCTACAATGAGATGCTGTCCTTTCACACGCAGTCAGCCGCAGATCGAAGTCCCCTTCACACCTGAAGCAAAGAAGATCCTTGAGCAATGCGTCGTTGAGGCAGGATGGCTTCGGAAGTGTTGAACGGCAGTGCATGTAAAACTATTTTTGCGACTGTTCCAGTGGCTGCCTGGCTGCCTGGCTGCTTGACTGGGGGACTGTGATAGACCGGACAATTCATACACAGAAGCATGTGCAGCCTTCTTCATTCTTGTGCTCTCTCCAACTACTTTTGTTCAGCATGCAAAGGCTTGAAACTTTCTCTTGGTGAGTGGGAGGCGCAGAATTTAAATTCCAATGCAATCGACACCGCGCACATCCTCTTGGCTGCAAGCTTAGCAAAGCATCCACCAGCTTTGTCATTTTCACCTCGGATGAATAGATCCTTGGTTGATGCACAGGTAGTGTCCTATTTAGAGGGGATAATTCACTTTCCGGGGAAACACTTCAGAATCTACCAGGTTGACATGCAGGACAGTAAGTGCACAACTGAGCCATATGAAGCCCACTGAGGCACTTTGTAAGGATTCCACTGGGAAGGTGCAGAAGGCAGAAGTGGGGTGGCCGATACTCCTCGCATGTTGGACAAGCACCATGACTTTAGGCACGTGCACTGTTCTCTTGTACGCAAACACTGGCGGCAGTACTTGCAAATTGCGGTACGAGTGACGTCCCGGGAGATATGCACCGAGATCTAAGATCATTTGTCAGATTTGTTTCCTACTTCGGGTTCTTGTGATCCCGAAGATCCAGTTTCCTGAAGCTTGCGCCGCTCCCATCTTTGTTTGCATACATGAACACTTACTTCAGGCAACCTTTGCTACTCAATTCACAGCACATGTCAATGCGAGTTCCAAGGTTTCGGGTTTGACGCTGTTGCATGCGCTGGCAAGAGTCTGCCTGTTCCGAATTGCGGCAGTGTCTGGAGAAGCTGAATGTGGATGTGTGGCGTGGCCGCAAATCAAGGGGCACTGGGGGCTGGGGCGGCCAGCAGCTGAGCTGTGCCTCATAGCTCAGCAAAGCAGAAGTTGGGCATTCCTTTAATATTTCTGTCGGCAAGGCCAAGCATGCGTAACATTCATACCCACAGTGCAGAGCTGAGGAAGAAAGTACCAGAGGAGGTCATGAAGGAGCTTCAAGACAAGGACCGGATGCTTCTGACTGCAAGAAGGAAGCAGATGGTTTGTCTCAAAGTCTATGGAACCGCAAACTGGTTGGCGTCCTTTTGGATTTCCTTTAATCAGCCATATCAGCCAAAACGGTCCCCAAAAAAGATACCCACAAATGCGACTGGCTCAGGATGAAAAGGGCGCGGCGGTAACTGCACAGGCAAAGGGCCCGGGTGCCGCCCTGAGGCTCCATGATTGGAAGCTGGAGTTTTGTGGTGTGGCTCTTTGATTTTTCTTGTTTCCTTTTAAAGGGGGATGCCCTTTTCAGCTGACTTCAGACAACTAAGGTGGACAACCCCATTTGAGGTCCTCCTTACTTTCGAACGTAACCATTTCTGCCTTGTTGGGGCCTCGCTGACTTCTCAGGCGGCAAGAATGGCACATTGGAAGAGTTCGGTCGGGATCTCACTAAGGCCCGGCAGTGTAGTTGTTCCCTTCCGGTTGGATGTTTCTGGGTTGTTTGAAGTGGTTGCAATTTGAGGGATACTCAAAAGGCAAGTGGGCTTGTTCACTGAAATCGACAATTTGGAGGGAGCTCGGATCCTAGCAGGCTGCGGCAGAGGGCCTGATGGATCCGCTGGTGGGGCGAGAGGCGGAGATCGAGCGTACGATCCAGGCGCCTTCTAAACCGGAGTGGCTGTGCATTGAGTTGGGATGATGCGTATCTAGAGAACGAGCAGCCACACAGCTAGCCAAGTCGAACTTTGGGCATGGTTGCCAGCCATTCTGAGCACTGAGAAGCATAGGTGCGGAACATGGCCACGTGCAAGTGGAAGTCAAGAGGCTTTTTGGTGGATCTGGTGATTGACGGATACGGATGTACTGCCCCCTGCAGATCTTGGCCCGGCGCCAGAAGAACAATCCTGTGCTCATCGGAGAGCCCGGTGTTGGCAAGACAGCACGCATCCCAGTGAGCAAACATGTGGGTGAGCGTGGAGCTCGGCTGTTGGCCAAGCTTAACTTGTCCGACCTTCAGCCTTTCAGCCTCTCTTGCACCCAAATGATAGGCGCCGATCCGTAGAAAGGCTCTGTCACCGCCAGCCCTTAGCCTTTGGCTCGCAAAGGCCATCGCGGAGGGTCTGGCTTACAAGATCGCCACGTCAGACGTGCCGGAATACTTGGTTGGGCCATGATCTCGGTCGCCCTTTGTTTGGCATGTTTGCTGTGCAATGCAACCATCAGCCACAAAGAGTTCATGTACCTTTGCGCTATGAGCACAATGAAACAAGCTAAACTCAGGAAAAAGATCATCCAGCTGGACCTTGCAATGTTGCTTGCCGGCACGAAGTACCGCGGAGAATTCGAGGACTCGCTTCGGGGCAACCTTTGCTCAATAGCTGCATTTTGGCAGGATCCAATGCCAAACCTTCGCATCCCTCCAAGCAAATGGTTTGGGGCGGGTTGTGCGCTGCTTGATCTGACGGCTTGGCAGCATACCTCTCATCTAAATCACTGGCAGGAGCGCCTGAAGAACGTGATCAAAGAGGCCACTGGGCCACAGGGTGCTTGGTTCTCCATGGCTGAAACAGGACGTAGCATCAAGCGCCCGTGTCAGATCAAGTCAACTCATTCGGGACAACCAGCCTGCGTCAATGTGCCATCCGGGAAAAACAAACATCTGCTTGCATCCCCGTCGGATCCCCTAAACCCAGAGGTCTTGGACTCTGAGCGCAACATCATTCTGATGATCGACGAGATCCACACCCTTGTTGGTGCAGGTGGAACCGGGGACGGAGGCAGGCAAATTGCAAGTCTCCTGACGCTTGCACTTGGCTGGGCTCAGGTGGCGGTGGTGCAATTGATGCAGCCAACATCATGAAGCCTGCCTTGTCACGAGGAGAGCTGCAGGCGCCAGTTGTCAAATGCTGGAGCTTGGCCGAGAGCGCATTCTGGTCAGGTAATTGGTGCGACTACCAATGAAGAGTACCGAAAGTACGTGGAAAAGGACAAGGCCGTTTGGACGTTGGCGTGCATGATTTGAGAAGCATTCGAATGAGCTGGTGGGCATTGGCAATATAGTTTGTGTGACTTGCTTTTGCTATTGGGCCTGACAACCGGAATGATGTACATGTCCTCAAATTCAGACTACAATAGTGCTTAGTTGCTGATTGGTTCGCTCTTGGCACCATTCCAATGGGGGCTCGGGATTCCAGTCTGCTCCTGACGACAGGCTCTGGAGAGACGCTTTCAGCCGGTGAAGGCCGACAGTCTGGCTCCAGCGGTTAGCAAGGCTTAGCAAGGCTTCTAGGTCTCTGGAACTTAGGGAGTCATGGCTGCATTCCAGTCCTTTCAAGCCAAAACCAACCGCGTGCCTTTCAATGCCGTGCGTTTCTATGACATGTGCCGCTTTCCGAGTCCTTGACCTGGAAAGCTCGGCAGGTGCCAGAACCCACGGTCGAAGAGACGGCCTGGCCCCCATGTGATTCGCGCTTCGAATCACAAATGGGAATTGCATGGAATTGCGATCGCCATTTCCTTTTGGTTTTCCTGAAAAAAGCACAAGAGGAATTGCGGAATTGCAGCCATTTCCTTTTGGCTTTCCTGAAAAAGGCAATGACAGCGCCAAGACACCCGCAAATCAGTATTTCTGCCCGACCTTAGGTGCAGATTCTCACAGGCCTGGCGCGGAAGTACGAGGCGCACCACAAGCTGAGGCGGGAGAAAGCACGCGTTTCTCATGACATTTGTCTCATAAAGGGCAAAGAGTTTCTGGCGGCCTATGGTTCATTTGACTGGACACGCAACATTTTCGGGTACTTCCCACATGCGCACATGGCTGCGGTGCCAGTGAAGCTCAGGTACTCGGAGGAGGCTTTGGCGGCCTGCGTGAAGCTGGCGTCGCAGTACGTGCAGGACCGGTATCTGCCCGACAAGGCGGGGTGACGGAGTTGACGCAGTCGACGCAGTGGCAGTGTGAAAAGATGGGGCCAAATTTGCTCAGCTCACTTCGGTGAGCCCCTTAGAGTGTGGCACTCGTGTCAATAGACTGGGGTGCCGGCAACCGACGCAGCAAGCGGGTGGTGAAAAGATGGGACCAAGTTTTCTGGACAGAGAGGGCGTGCAATGGCTTGTGCTCTCAGGCAATTGATGTCATGGACGAGACGGGCGCACGAGTGCAGCTGCGACAGAATGCTGACATCCCGCAAGAGGCAATGGAGGCACAGATTCGGGCACAAACCTTGGTCTCCGGTGATCAGAAAGTCAAGCAAAAATGGAGTGGGGCAGAAGCTGCACATAGGCTCGGAAAGAGCTCCGGGAAATGGAAGCGAAGAAGGAGGAGGTGGCTTGCACATCGCTGATGATAGTTTTCCATATTCTTTTCCGATGAAAGCGCACAGATCTTGGTGCCTTTGGATGACACTCCATTTTTCGCTCTGCGTTTGGGCTTGGCCGCTTGTGCAGTAAGCTTCATGCGCCTTGACGTTGGAGAGGCGGTGCGGGCTCAGAACTACGAGGAGGCAGCCAAATGCAAGGAGGAGGAGGCCAGGATTGTTTGATAGTGCTACTGTTCGAAGCACACAGACAGGGTACACCCGCTCTCCTTGTCAGATCAAGCTGAAGAAGCAGATTCGACGCTTGGTGTTGAGCCTAGGTGTGCTCCCAGTCTCACAGATCTGTACCTGGGAGAGGGTCAGGCGTGTTTCCTCTTCACAAAACACTCAATACTGAGCCAGGCTTGGAGGATGCAGCACAGCCTGTCCCTGGTGTTTTAGAAATGATTCCGATCTCATCTTGCTTCAGCTCTTGAATCTTTCCATTCATACCAAGGTGAAGGAGGCTGAAGCACAGCCAGAGGTACCAGCGCCAATCCTTTGCTTTCTGTTTAGACTTTGTTGGTGCCCTATTTCTTGCGCTAAGTCCCGGCACTGTGTGATAGCAAACGCACAGCTTCTGTTGATTCCATGTCAACAGCAGTGCAAGTTGAAATTCTACCTTTCGCTTAATCACTTGCACCCGTATAGCCGTGTAGCTTCGTACTTGTGTATTATTTTGCTTGTCCCCGAAGTCGGTGTCATCTCAAAGCCCATGGAAGATGTGCAATCCTTGCGGCAGCGTGCTTTGGTTCATGAGAGGGGGAGAGGACCGATGGTTTATTTGAACTTTTGAGCGCCAGGAGGCCACCGGCGAGGTGGGAATATGGCATGTCAAGCAGGGAATATGCATCCAGATTGGTGTGGGCAATTGCTTCCCCTGAGTAGAGTCCTTTACATGTATTCCACGTTGAATTCGGTTTGTGATGCTTGGGTCTGCAATTTTGCTGATTGCAACAAGGACTTGCCAGTTGTCAGAGCGTGCCACGCCATCTGCATCGATCTGAGCTCAAACAGATTGAACCTGAGACCGCGCTCGCCGGCCATGGAAGGCGGACTTCAGGAACCCTTGACAGAGGGTGCAGAGGGATGGATCAAGCAGGCCAGCATCGAGGTTCGACGAGGCTTTGTAAAGAAAGTCTACGGCATTCTCACGGCGCAGTTGGTGCTGACGACTTTGGTGGCATATCCCATTGCCCAAATGCCGGGCCTTGAGCTGGAGCACAGCTGGGCCCCCAGTGTCTCAGTCGCCACGCTGATTGCGACTTGTGTGATTATGATTTGCTTCAGGGATCTGCTGCGCAAGTTTCCCACCAACTACATCGTTCTGGGGCTCTTCACTGCTGCCACGGGCACCACAGTGGGAATGGCATGCCGCCAGTACGAGCCCTTGGTGATCTTTCTGGCCCTGACAGTGACAGCCGCTACTTTTGCTCTTATGACAGCTTATGCCTTCACAACAAAGAGCGACATGACTGACAAGGGGCCCTACCTCTTTGTGGGCCTCTGCGTGTTGATCATGATGAGCTTTGGCTTGCTTGTGCTGAATGCAATGGGCATCCAGCTTCCTCTTCTGCAGCAGCTATGCGCAGTTGGGGGTGCGCTCCTCTTCGCCTTTTACATGGTGTTCGACACGCAGTGCATGCTTGGTAGTTGGGGTGGGCACAAGATCGAATTCTCGGTGGATGACTACGCTTTCGCGGCCCTCAACTTGTACTTAGACATCATCAATTTCTTCCTGGAGATTGTTCAGGTGATCGGAAGGAGAGATTAGACGTCGCTGATGATGTAGCACCCCTTAAGAGAGCAAGCTTGCAGCAAAGTGTACAGGTTGCGCAGGTCTGATGGATGTTTGATTTTGATCAGGACTCCATTCAACAATATGAGAAGCCAATCGTTTTCATAAGCGTCAGCCTATCCACTTTCCCTGCCATTTGGTAGTCGCCCATACTTGAATAAACGTTCATTGGGCCCCGCTGCCTTTGTGACAAAGCGACAACATTGGGACCTCGGCGGAGATGCACAGCTGCTGGGATGGTGTGAAAGCTGCTGCATTGTCAAGTCTTGCGTCTTCCAGTTTCTCGTGAGCCTTTTTGGGCCCCTTTGATCCAGGCGGCAGCCCCGGCGGCAGCGGCACCTGCTTCTGCTGAGGTGCGCAGCGTTCTGTCAAGTCACAAGGTAACTTGTGCCGTGCCCCGCGAGAATGGCCCAATTTGGTATCACTGACTTGCCACAATCGTGGGTCAACCTCTAGGTTCTTTCCTTTTTGGAAATGTATACATCATGGGAGGAAGCTGCGGAGGAGGAGGAAGAGTTTCAGGCAGGGCAGAAGATTTAGCAAACTATTTAGCATACATGCATACATTCATACGTACGTACATACGTACGCACCTGCTGACCTACTTGCGTAAATCCATCCATACGTGCGTAAGTACATACGTACGTACATTGACATACACACATACGTTGACAGCCAGACAAACAGACAGACAGCCAGACAGACAGACGGACAGTCAGCCAGACAGACAGACAGATAGATAGACAGTTAGACATACCTACGTACGTCCGTACGTACATACATACATGCACATATGAGCCAGCTTCAACAGTACCATTTTCTTTTTTTAAACGTAGGAGCGTTTCATGCACATGGTGCTTTTTTCCTCGAAAAAAAAATACGGGACGCCCAACAAAACGATACCCCCAAACCTGAGAAACAGCACTTGACAAACAATACGGGACATCCTAGCGTCGGAATGAATACGCCCCGTACAAGCAATTTTAACGTTGACTCATATACATACAGAAATGCATACACACATACTCATAAGCATACAGATACACACACGCACACACACACACACACACACGCAGACACAACTACACATGTATGCACACACACCCAATCACAAAGACACATACACTCATATACACATATACACACATATACACACATATACACATATACGCACATACACACACATACATACATACATACATACATACGTACGTACGTACGTACGTACGTACGTACATACATACATACACATACATACATACATACATACATACATACATACATACATACATACATACATACATACATACATACATACATACATACATACATACATACATACATACATACATACATACATACATACATACATACATACATACATACATACATACATACATACATACATACATACATACATACATACATACATACATACATACATACATACATACATATGTGCGTATGTACGTATATACGTACGTGCGTACATACGCACATATGTATGTACATATCATGCGTACATACGTACATACCTACAAACATACTGCGTATGGTGCACACATACATATGTACGTACATGCTGCATGCGTACATGCGTACATACGTACATACGTACATCGTACATACTTACATGCGTGCATACGTGCGTGCAAATGTTAAGATCCCACAGCGGCTGCAGGAAAGCTAGGCCATCAGGCAAAGGAGCATGTCATATCTTCAAGAGAAGCGTGTAAACTAGGGTTAAGTTCACTACCAGAAGGAGGAATCACATTTGTTTGTGTGTCTGTCCGTTGCACGCACAGTGTGCATGTGTCGGTGTGTGCGCGCATCAGAGGCCCGGACCTGTTTAGTTTTTTTTTTTTTTTCCACGGCCAATGTGTGCTTGTGCGCGTAAATCAGGGACCAAAAGTCGATGTGTCAGCGAACGTTAACATCCCAGCGACCAAAAGCCGATGTGTCAGCGAACGTTAGCTTCCCCCAGTGACCAAAGGCCGATGTGTCAGTGAATGTTATCACCCCCCGCCCCACCAGTGAGCCAAAATTAGTGTCCTCACCACCTCCCCCCACCCCAAAAGAAAGCCGAAAGACAAAACACAGCAAGGGTAAAATTTCTACAGGCCTCCACCTAAGTACGTACGTACATACGTAGGTACATTCCAGATACGCATACACATACACATACACACACGCGCACATACACACATACACATACACATACACATACACATACACCCTCCTACACATACACACGCACACACGCATACCCACGCAGACACGCATACACTTACACGTATACACACATAAATGACATAGATACATAAATGACATAGATACATAGATACATAGATACATAGATACATTGATACATAGATACATAGATACATAGATACATAGATACATAGATACATACATACATACATACATGCATAGATACATACATACATACATACATACATACATACATACATACATA